GTACGCTTGCCCGATTTTGGTCCGTCCTGATATTCCCCCGCCACCGTACCTGGGCCTTGTCATGCCCCCCCTCCCCTCGAATACAGAGCGGAATCCAGTAGTAGCAGTATACCCGAAGTGGGGAGTGGGTTCAGGGGATGGGGGGCATTTGGAATTTACCGCAAGTTGCCAGGTGTAAGGGGGCATACATCTTGAACAGCTACCACAAAAATCAACAGGTATTCCTTTTGCGGTATTTCCTCCCCCACGTACCCAGCGCAAGAGAGTCCATTCAAGCGCTGCCTAGGAGCTCGAGAACAAAATTCAATGGCATTGGCGGCAGGTTGAATCCATATATCGTTACGAATTGCCTGTAGCAAACACTGTCGGCTAAAATGAAGTGGATCGATCTAGTAAAGTGGGCGGTCGGGGTGTTGAATGTACGAGGTGGGAGGAATAACTTGATTTTTATTAACTGTGTCGCTATATCAGGGGAATACATGACTTCCAAGGCTCGCTCCTCGGTCATCTTGAACCCTATACTATGATACACGAGGGTAGCCGCCTATACTAGTACTCGGGTACCAACCACCGGCACCGGGATAGCAGGTTGTTTTGTAAGAAGTGCTGGATAGGATCTCAGAGTACGGATGGGGAGGAGGAAATAAAGAAGGAAGAAAACCTGATCTGCGTTGTTATTTTTTAATTTCTATCAACCGGGCAAGAGGGTTTTATATAGACCGATAATATCCCAGACCATGATCAATCGTCTATTTACATGTTGGAAAAATCCTCCAATTCAAAGCACATGTGTCTCGGACTCTTTCGGTACTCCATCCCTCCTCCGAGGCCCAGCTCGGGTCTTTCTGCATACTGCTGTTCCGGCCGATACAACAAGCTTGCTGAGTCCAGCAGAAAACCTGCCGAATACTACCGGCAAGTGTCCTAATACCCGGTAGAGTCCTTCCTCCTGAATTCTGAAACTAAATATGAAATAACACTAGAGATACTAGCAGAAGAAATCTCTGCTAGTGTGAAACTTGCGAAACAACCCGCAGCAAATACAACCGACAAGTGAGTACCAGTGATTTTCAACAGGTTGGACTTTGGTGTGCAGGGAGTCGGGGGATGATGCGCATTGTTTGGGATAGTGAAGGATCCGGTCTTGTGAGATCTAGGGGATGAAGTGGTGATGGGGTATGCCGGTGCTGCGGACCGGATACCCCGGTGACAAGGGAAAGGAGGGCAAAGTGGCTGTGGTGTTTGGGCGCAACCCGTGCCCTGGTAGGTGTTTTCGGGCAGTCTCTCACAGAATTAGGGCCCCAAACAAAACAGGCAAAAGGTACACTGACTAGTAAGTTAGCGGGAAACAGTCTCCAACAAACCGGCGACCTCTTGGGAGCTTAAAAAAATGAAAAGAAAAAACAAAAATGGGCTGATTATGAACTACAAGGGGTTGATAGGGGGGCGCGGTAAGACCTATAGCAGCCCCGACCCCGGCCGCTTTGTAGAATATAAGGTTGCCTAGGCGAAGGTGGGCTTTTGAGGGCATATAAATACAGCTGCTTGAGGATGCGGACATCCCGGCACGTGTCCTAGAAACAGGGCAGCCTCCAAATGGCTGATACAGTGGCACTGGAAATACCGGTAGACCGTAGGGAGTGATGGAAAGAAAAACAAGCTGAGGGTCTAGACTTCGATCCAGAATGCCCGGCGGTCCACCCCCCATCTTTGCGATAGGGCCGGACGGGTCGTAAACTATTGTCGGGCCTTATGTTGCTCAACCGTGCCCAACGGGCCTCGCCAGGGGCAACGTGCGCGATATGTGCTGTCGCTGAGCAAATGGTAGCATTTGTGAAAGGCGAATAGTGGGAGAAAAAGCGGAGAGCCGAAGTGATCGATAGCATGCTTAATTACCTACATAGGAGCAATGTAAATAGGGGACGTATTCCAGAGCTCCCCCCCAATCCAAGGCCAAGCACATAATCATTAGGGGGTATAGCACGCAACGGACAGAATTCGGCCATTTTCCAATCTCTATACCCTGCGAACCTGTGGAGAAGTCTGGAGATCTAGGTAGGAGCATTGGGTGGCCGGTGGCAGAATGCGGCAGGAGAGATCGGGCCCGAATGTGAATAAATGGAGGGCAAATAACGGCGGTGGATAAGTGGGAACCGGATATGAAGGTAAGGGGTGGAGAAGAAAATGTGGTATCGGAGTCTTACCTGATAGGAAAAGTCCCGCGTGAAACCTGTGTCAACTGCTCTGGCGCCCATAACTCCATCATAGTAAAACTAACAGCGGGGGCAGGGTATGATGGTATGAGAATAATTACCCAATATTTTTCCGGCTTGTAGGAACCTATGGTGCGCTAATGTGTGCGCTAATGTGTGCAATGATAGGGCGTAAGTCAAGGTATCATCGGTATCATTATCCCTTACCCAAGTTTCTGTAAGGTTCTCGGTAGAGATGTTTGCCCATGGATTCTTGTTTCGGTTGGAGAGCCAACATAAACCCCTGACTTGCGATTTTGGCGGAGAAAAGAGACGATTTGGATGAATCGAAGGATGGTGATGGTACGGAAGGGGGTGGTTCCACATAGTCACTGGCGGGGCATTGTTTGTTTGTTTGAGAAATCTGGCAAGTGTATAAGGGTGCCATACTTTGTGATACTTCTGCAATGCGGCTCTGGTCTTGACATGGGTGATGTGGGTGGCGCTGGAGCTGCACAGGGTTAATTGGTCGCTTAAGAGCCAGTTACCCTTCGACAGCTCTGCACTGTATCTGAGGAAGGGATTTCAGTAAGCTACGGTACCAACTAACAGTTCTCGGATAATCCCTGTACCAAGGTAGAAGTGTTTCGGTTGACTTCCGGGATTGAGTGGCGTGCTCGACAAGGCTGGCTCCCGTGTGGGAGAGATGTCTGTCACACTGGAAATATCTGGTGGGATGGAGGAAAGGGAGCTGCCAGGGAATGATGACAGCGTAACACACCGGTGGTGGAGGGAGCAGGACAGAGGAGAAGAACTTGGACCCAACTGCGAGGGAGAGGAAACGTGGCCTCCGTAATTGCATGTTGATGTGGGGTGTTGCCCACCCCCTAACGTATAGGGGTGGTTGCCAGACCTTGGCGTAAAAGTCGTGTCGCGTGCTATGTCGCTTCGGCAGCTCTGTCGGGAACCTAGGTACGCCCGTGGTGTGGATTCGAGCACAAGGCGGTATCGACTTCTACGAATACCGTAAGTTATGCCCGCACTAAAATATACTCGAGCTAGGTACCCGAGTTCCTGACATAGCTACCGAAGCGACATAGCACCCGGTACCACTTTATCTCTTTTAATTGCACAACATGTAAGGACACAACTGGCCTATACGGGGGAGGGTGTGTGCTATGATAGGGCAACTACAGGTAACAAATCAGCGAATGGCAAACCGGTACTGTACTCAAGGAGGTTTGCCAACCAATCTCTTCCACGAGGCCAGAGACTGAGCCGTGGCCTGCAGAGAGAATGCACATCACCTTTTCGGGACTGGGGCTGAATGTCTTAGAAGGTCGTGTTGCATTAAACTAGCGGAACCACCTGGAGTACAGGTAACATGGGGAAAATCAAAGGTCTTAGTAAGAGAACCGTCCTAGCTATTGGCAGGGGCAACCGAATGTCCCCCGAGTAGTAGGCCGGTAAATCTGACTGCCACACTGCCCTGTGGAATTTCGCGCGGCATGGCCCAAGTACTAACTTAGCACTTGAGTACTCGAGATACCAGTAGCGCATTTAGGTTGCTTACAGTATTAGAGTTCCAGCACTGTACTGTGCTGTACAAGTACGAGTATCATACTCGTGTGCTGTACTGTACCCGAACTCGTACTCATAGCGATTCTGATAGGATCAACTTTTTCAAATCGCAGGGGATTGTTTACTCGGGTCGGCCTGCCCTCCAGCAACGGAGACTGTAATGTGTCGCGCACCTACTAGCATTAAAGCCTACCGGTAGGTGGGGAAAGAAAATTGATCGTTGCTCAAAATGGTAGCACAGGGGCTGATATATTCGGGTAATATCATACTTGGCTTGCATATGTGCAGACAGCCACTGGGCATGCAGTTGCCGTTTTTGTGTGCCGGTACAAGCGCTGCGCATTTCACAGCCCCGCTCTTGGAGTTCTTAAGAAGGGTTGCTGCGAAAAGATTCCCTCTACGAGTAATTTCTGTATCCCGCCTCATCCCAGAATCCACTATCCGAAAGCATACCAAAAAAAAAACCCCCCCCGCAAGCTTCGAGGACCCACCTCGGAATTGAAGGCCGACCTTTATTCTTCTTTCCCTATTGAAAGATAGCGAGCTCTCATAGCAACTTGCACTCCCCCTCTTAACCCAAAACATTCGTGAGAAAGAAAATGGCGGAACCCTTCGGGTTTGTTGCTGGTGGCCTGGCCCTCATTCACCTCGGCGCGAAGGTTTATCAACATTGCGGTGAATACCGCGACGCAGTTAAGGAGAGCGAAAATGATTTCACGAGACTAGCGAATGAGATCAGGAGTATTAGTGAGCAGCGGAAGAAAATACAGGCTTTTGCTGCACAAGGCGACGAGAACAACCCAAAATACCCGGGACTTCGTGAATGGACGGGAAACGAAAGTTTGGGGCGTTATGCCACAGCCCTCGAGAAACTAAAGAAAAAATTGGATGTCCCGGGAGGGAGGAAATTCTGGAGAAAGTTTCTTTGGCCGGTTCATAAGCCCAAAATGGACCATTACATGAAATTGGTGGAAGAGCAGAGATCGGGACTTCAACTATTGTTGAATACAGCCACAGCGTAGGTCATCCGTTCTAGTCCCTCGAGAATCTGGCTTCTCCGCACCCCCCCTCTTTTTTACTTGGCAAGACTAAGTAGTTGTTTAGGAATAAGGCAACAATGGTTTTGGAAATCCTAGAGGGTACTTGGTCACATTTTCCCTAACCCTGCCAATTATTTTGTTACTAATATCGGATGTTCCTAAAACCCCAGAGAAGACTTTTCAGGAAGTACAGAAATGGCTTAACGTCGTTGATCCAACTTCCGATTATTCATCCGCGCGCGAGCTTCGTGAACCTGGTACGGGAAGTTGGCTGCTCGAGGGACGCGAGTATATGAATTGGAAGGAAGGTCAAAGAGGACTTCTCTGGCTTCACGGTATACGTGAGTTTACACACTGGTTCAAATCTTATGCTCCAAGGATGGTCATTAATATTTGTCTCTTGTAGCCGGATGTGGAAAAAGTGTGCTAAGGTGCGAACTCAACTGGGTATCCAAGGGCACATTATGACTTCCTGATTGCTAACTCTCTCTTTAGCGCTACCGTTATTAAGGATGTTGAAAATCTCTGCGAGTCGAAGGACGATCACGCATTGGCCTATTTCTACTTTACCTTCAGTGATTCGGAGAAGCAAAATTTGGTGAATATGCTTTTATCCATCATTGGCCAACTTCCAAAAAGGCCCTCGGAGCGGGGTTTGCCACGCGAGGTTGTTGATCTGTACAAAAGCACTGGGGCAGTTAGAAAGTCGGCGGAAATCAAGGAACTGAAAAAAGTACTGTCGCAGATTATAAAGGGTTTCGGGAGGACCTTTATCATTTTAGATGCCTTGGACGAGGTCCCAACGAGAGTACGCGACAGTCTGCTTAGTTTGATTGGCGAGCTCAAGGCGGATCACAATGCGGGATCGCTTTCGATTCTCGTCACTAGCCGTCCCGAGGCCGATATAGTGGGGTCACTGGAACAACTTAATGGGTTTTCAATATCGCTACAATCCAGCACTATCGATCCGGATATCCGCACATATATACGGAACTCTCTCGCCAGCAAGGATGGTATTCGGAAGTTTCCACAAGAAATCGAATGTGAGATAGAGGAAACGCTAGTTGCGGGTTCACAGGGAATGTGTGTTATGCCCGATCACTGAATTTCCACTTATGCTAATATTGTGGCGCGTGTTTCCAGGTTCCGATGGGTAGATTGTCTCCTGAGAATTCTGGAAGAATGCATAACACCAAAATCTGTGCGGCATGCACTGAAGGAGCTCCCGAAAGACTTAGACTCTATCTACGAGAGGATCCTCGATACCGTTCCGGAGAAGCAGAAAGAATATATTCGGCGAGCGATGAATTGGCTGGCGTTTTCGGCAGAACCATTGACATTAGGCCAGCTGGCTGAGGCCATTGTTCTAGAATACGATGTCGACAAGTATGGCGAGGATTCGGAAAATCTTTTTGACACGAGCTCCGTGATGAGAATTTGCCCTAGCCTTATTTCATTCGAAGACACCAGGGATAGCGAAACCTCCACCCGGGAAAGCCGACGACTACGACTCGCACATTTCTCGGTAAAGGAATATTTGATCTCAGACCGGGTGGCGCAGGGCCCCAGTACCTACTATCATATTTCGGAGGATAAGGCCAATTTACGGATGGGGCACGCATGTCTTAGTCGAATTCACCGGCACAGCGAATCAGGTACTATACTCAGGGACAAAGTCAAAAAAACGTCATTTCTCTACCACAGCGCTCGCCATTGGTTCACCTACTTTAGATCAATTGAGTATACGGCACCCACTCCGCTCTGCGATGCTGCAATAAGGGTCCTAGAGCTAGGCCGAACCTGGCTGGATATATATGACCCCGACTGTCCTAGGCGGTTTAGGCCCCTAGATTCCGGAGCTTACCCACCAGCAATCTACTATTGCTCCTTGTTAAATCTAGAGAGGGCCTGTAAATTACTAGTCAACAGAAAGGAGGATGCGGTAAACGTGAATGCCCAGGGTGGCTATTATGGCAATGCACTACAAGCAGCTACAGAAAAAGGAACCGAACCGATTGTGCGGCTTCTCCTCGAGCGTGGGGCAGATGTGAATGCGAAGGGTGGCCTTTATGGCAATGCACTACAAGCAGCTGCAGCAGAAGCAACCGAACCGGTTGTGCGGCTCCTCCTCGAGCGTGGGGCAGATGTGAATGCTCAGGGTGGCTATTATGGCAATGCACTACAGGCAGCTTCAGTAAATGGAACCGAACCGGTTGTGCGGCTTCTCCTCGAGCGTGTGGCAGATGTGAATGCTCAGGGTGGCTATTATGGC